CTGTTGTCCTTATATAGACTAACAGGGTCTTTATAGCAATGTATATATCCGCATATGCAGGCCTTAAAATATCTTTTACAGGGCCGTCTGACAAAATGTCCGGTGACGTTGAATTTGGGTCGGACATATGTCCGATGACCTTCAGTTCAGTTTGACTCGGAAATAAGTCTGAATGACACAAATGAATAAATGGTAAATGTTGTAAAGATATTAAATAATTTGTTCCTTTCATACTTATTTCCAAGCCAAAATTAACTTGCTTTCCAGAACAGCAGTATTAAAAAAGACTTCGACAACTTAAGCCCGTTTTCCACTTCACCATTTCGCTTGCCGCTCCACGCTCGACTACGTTAATTAAAACAACATTTCCAGTTCACCTTTTATACAACAGTACTCTGATTTTCCGTTTAACATACAAGCCTCTAGTCCTGGGATAGGGTACATTTTGATTTACGTCGGACAAAGCTACAGTTCGGTCGGACACCAATACACTCGGGTCGGACAAACAATAAACCTCAGTTTCACCTTGGTCGGACAGAATGTCCGGTGGTTTCCTTTCTACGTCGGACAACTTCACGAATGGGTCGGACAATGTCCGTGACCGACCGATATTTTAAGGCCTGATATGCATGTATTTTTAATAAAAAGGCAAAACAATTTAAGCTATATGTATATCAGGGCGTATTTTTGTGAAAGAGGTAATTACACGCATCAAGGCATTAATAGAAGTTCTCCTGTTTGATTTTATATACGAACTAAGGTTCTTCGCATGCGTTCAGTAATTGTTGCCGTAGCGAGCGAGCCTGAAGCGAGCGAGCAAGGCAGCAGACCTAATCTTTATGTATATGTATTATATATTATGCAGATGAAATCTCGATCGTCTCGGCGTATTTCAGCCTACCACAATGCACTGCTCCCGGGCCGGCAGGCTATTCTTGCCTAATTAACAGGCATAAGGCAAACAAGGAATGCGATCATCTTTCCTGATCTTTGGTTTTCTTTAGCGGAAAGCCATAGCCAGCGTAAGTGATCAAACGGCATTTTGTCGATACGCAGTGGTTCGAGCGTTATACGCGGTGCTTTCGTTACTATACACAGTGGTTCGAGCATTATACGTGGTGCTTTCGCCATTATACACGCGGTGCGTTTGCCATTATACGCAGTGGTTCGAGCATTATACGGGGTGCTTTTAACATAATTTCCATATTCTTTCCAGGCCAAAAAAAAATATGTGGGTTTCGGGTTTCCCGACCCTACCTAGCTTTTGGGCGTCGAAATCCTGACCTGTCCTGACCCTAAACTTTGTTATTGGATCATACTTGTGTTTCCACTTAGAGGAAAAAGTTTGTGGAAAATTGAAATTTGAGGCAATATTAGGAAAATTTATCTTTGGATGTGGAAGCACTGACTAAACAAAATGTCGTCCGCTTGTTCGGAAAATTTTAAAAAAAGTTTAAAAAAAAGTTAAAACCGACCTACCCTACCTAAGTTTTTATAAGAAGAAACCGGAAACCCACATATTTTTTTTGCCCGCGTGTATATAATCTCACGATTGCTTAAATTTGGCATGGAGCTGTGCTTTTTGCCTCTGGTCGACAATGACATGCTTTCAAAGGTTTATTTTATAAAAAGGTGTCTGCACTTTGTATTTATCATATAGTGTTGACTTATTAGCAATAAATCTGTTTATATAACATAGGTATATACATTAATATAACGTAGCGAATGCGCGCCGAGCAGTATAAACGCCGCAAAATACGGCGATATTAAAATCTTAAATGTGCCGTATCATTTAATTATGTTTTAGGATTTAATGCCTTAATTAACAATTCTTTGTTATTTGTATTTGTACTTGTACTGCATCGCAGAGACGGATTTTCATATTTTCGTTCGGGTGTGTGTGGATAAATATCTGGAACGGGGGTGCTGCTGCTTGCTTTGACCGGGACCTGGTGGCAACGTCCAGAAAGACCAAGGAAAATGTAACAAAACTTGTTTTCTAGGCCTGCATACCCTCCCCCCCCAGAAAATCCGTGCCTGCTGCATCACAAGGCTGCGCGTAAGTGAACAGATTCCACATGTGAGGTTGTCTTGTATATATTTTTGCTTTCTTTGATAAACTAGTTGCTATGTAATGTCGGACTTAAATTTTAATATAGTTACATCTTGCATTGTGCATTTTCATTCAAACTGATGAAGTATATCATGCATATATTTGCACCAACTGAGCGTGTTTTAAATACTGATCATGGTGCGTTTAAACTCATGAAGTATATATCTATCTATTTACTGGGGCAGAGTTTTGTGTGTTTTAAATATCAATTCGTATGTATATATAAACCGTGTTCCTTGAAAACGAAGCAAACGCATAAAGATATATCATCAGGGACGGCGGAACTGGGGGGGGGCAGGAGGGGCAGCCGCCCCCGTTGCCCTTTACCAGGAGGGACAAGGGGGGTAAAAGTGCCCTTTCAGTTTAAAGGATTGCATTGGCGAAATAGCGAATTGTCAGAAATGTTAGTGCATTTTTTTTAAGAATTTGCTTTAGAAAATGCAAGAAATGCTGTCATGGAGCTTCAAGAATAGTACAATCGGCTGGCGGAGAACCCCCTCACACCCCTATCATCCAATAAGTAGAAAACATGATTAGGTGAAGTTCAACTCCCAACGTTTTGCGAACATCTCTTAGTATATCAAATATTTAAATGCGAAAGACATTGTCTTTTCTATTGTTCGTTGTGAACACAATCACAATAGTCTAAAGCTTCTCAAGAATGTGGACGGCTAATTATAACGATTAATTACAAGCGTTAAGACTTAAGTTGACTCATTTAACACGCTGGTTTAGTTTCTCAAAGCGCAGAGGAGTATACTACAGGGTGTCCCAAAAAACCCGAAAACTATTGAAATCACTTATTGTTAAATTTGAATGCCCTACTTTGCAGCTGGACGTAATGATGCGTAAAATATTGACAAGGTGCATGTATTAGAATTTAGTTAGAAATATCTCCTGGTAAAGTGCGCGATTTTCTGCTCCTGGGAATTAAAAACAGCTTCTTAAACAGTTTCTTTATGCATAAAATTTACTTATGTCAATCATTTATGCACTCGTGAGAACCAACAGAGCGCTAAGGCATTCAAATTCTAACAATTGAATTGTTATTGGTGATTTCAATAGTTTTCGGTTTTTTGGGACACCCTGTATACTCCTATCTGGCTATCATATAATATTCATAGTCATGCATAGCCAGAAAATCGCGAACCATAAAAACAAAGACATGTCAATTTGTTTTTAGCTTAAGCATGCAGTTATGAAGCCATATAACCAAGCGAAATGAACTAGATTAACCTTAGCCTGCTCACAGACGTTGTATAGTTTTTACGTTGTAGTTTTTACAGGCTACATTAACCTATACTATAGCAACAATTCAGATAATTTGTTACCTTAACTTAAGTCCCGTTTACACGTACGGCACGTATACACGACTGTAGCTGCAATATTTTGCAATGGCACGCACGGCCGGCACGGCAAAATTTGTTACGGCAAAAGTTAAATTTAGACACGGCATGTTTAGTCTCAATACTGTGGGACATTTAACTTATTTAATTCCAATACGAGTATATATAGTTACTTTTGAAAACTGCGCATTTAGTTATCTATATGCTTTGTCCAGGATTTACACTCATTTATACACGGCATGACTAGACACATTTTTTGCTCGGATAAAGTTTATCTTGCATGACCAAATTAAAGCAAAACATTTATGGAACTCAGTCTACGCTGCCATGCAATTTTGAGACTAAAGTGTCTAGTTATTTGTTTATCAAGTCAAATCTCGAAGGTTTTGAACATTTAACGGCTTGCACAAGATCGAAACTGGCTCACGCAGTTCCTGGTCCGCTATAGTACGATCGTACTTGTTTATGAAAGTGTAACAACATGAGGACCATTTTTACTAAGTGAAACCGTTGACTTCACATAAAAAATCTCGAAAATTCTATCAAATGTCATATTGACAGATATTTAACAGCCTGAACATGTCTTATTATGACGTGCTGAAAATACGTACACACTAGCGCAAGGTTTTTGTGTCACCAAATGGACAAAAAGTATTATAACATGTACAAGTGCTACTCAAAACTCTACAGTCTGTCTCGCGGCTATTGCCTCACCAAACTGTGGTTATGCATTACAAACTCTATGGAGCAAAGGAAACTATAAACCATTTTTTACTACAAATTTATCCGAATTTCAAGTTTTTAGTCATCCGGTTTTTTATATACGTACATGCCTTACGTACATGGCAGCCATCATGAGTGGCTTCAAAGATGGCGGCTAAGTTATCTTTCCTGTTCCCTGAGCCCCGTTTACACTACGCTCAATTTTTGTACCGCACCACTTTTTTTGGTTCTTAAAAGAACCATCGTACCAATACGGGTACCGATTTTATCCGTGCCGTACCAAAAATTGAACGTAGTGTAAACAGGGCTTTAGAGTTCACTGGTTTAAACTGAACGTGAGCGCCTTATTAAAACACCCTGTGTTTGGAAACTTTTGCTCCATTGTACGTGTAGTCTAAAAATGTGTATGTATGCTACACCACTATCAGTTTCTGAATAAATGCAATGGTGTTCTGCAAACCTAAACCCTAACCGTGCAAACCGTGTTCAATATGTTCATAGTTTTCCACAGTTTGGTGAGGCAATAGCCGAGACAGACTGTAGAGTTTTGAGTGGCACTTGTGCATGTTGACATAAACTTTATATTTATTAGTTACCGGATTGGGTTGCTGTGGCACCTGAGCCCGCGTTAGTCATTGGTCATTTTAGTGTCGGCCATTTTGTACATTGTAAAACGTATTAAGTTTATAGCTGGCTTTAAGTAGGATAAAGCCATGCAATTAGTATGGCTTCTATTATTACTTTATGATTACGACAATTTATCCTACTTAAAATAAACCCAAAATAGAATCGCGAAAATCAGTTTGGACAACGAAAACATGGATACGCTACTCAAACCAGCACGACTCGACTTAGATCCAAATTCGCCCACAGCAACGAAAGAATGGAGGCATTGGCACCGTACCTTTACTAATTTTATTGATGAATGTGGCGAAAAGGCTCCTGATGAATATAGAACTCTTGTAAATTATGTGTCTCATAACGTTTATGAATATATCGAAGACTGCAAGGACTATAAATCGGCCATTCGCGTACTAGAACAACTATTTGTCAAGACACCAAATGAAATATTTGCTAGACATTTGCTGGCAACAAGACGGCAGAAATCCGGCGAGACTCTTACTGAATTTCTCCAAGAACTTCGAAAACTTAGCAAAGATTGTAACCTTAAGAACGTAACTGCTGAACAGTATCGTGAGGAATTGGTTCGTGATTCCTTTATTAATGGCCTCTTATCACCTTTGATTCGCCAACGGCTCCTAGAAAATAAACAGCTTGACCTTCAAACTGCTTTTGACCAAGCAAAGGCCTTGGACTTGGCTCAAAAGAATTCTGAAGCATATAGGATGCCTGAAATACCTACAACTGCAGCAGTCTCCTCCCCTCCGACAGATGAGGTTGCTGGAGCTCATGCCTTAGATTATGATTCTCTGGCAGCTACATTCACATCGAAGAAATGCTACTTTTGTGGTGATAATTTCCACAACAGAAGAAGTTGTCCAGCCCGGAATTCTAATTGTAACAACTGTGGAAAGAAAGGACATTATGCTAAAGTTTGCAAGTCAAAGGCGCCTTCAATCACCACTGCTTCTATGTTCACGCCTACTCTTTGTTCAATTGTTGCAAGTTGTCCAGAAAGTCTAAAACAAGCATCTGTAAAAGTCTCTATTGGCGGTATTGAACTGACCGCACTCATTGACTCTGGGAGCTTGGAAAGTTTTATAAGTGAAACTATGGCACGGAAACTGTCTCTCAAGCTTCATCCATCAACACAGAAGATATCTATGGCCCTAACATCTTTTAAGACTCAGATCCTTGGTCACTGTTTTACGGATATTGTAATTAATCAACTTTCCTACTCATCCATTCGTTTGGGAGTCTTGAAAGATCTCTGCAGTGACATTATCCTTGGGCAAGTCTTCCAGAAGAAGCACAAGCGGGTCACCATAGAGTTTGGCGATACTAGACCAGAACTAGTAATTCCTAGGTCTGCCTGTCCTCTTTCTTCGACAGCCTCCATCGAGGAGCCTTCATTGTTTGGAAACCTTCTCCCTGAATGTAAGCCTATCGCCAGTAGATCTAGGCGCTTTAGCAAAGAAGACCAGGAGTTTATCAATCAGGAAGTTACAAAACTCCTGTCTGAAGGAATTATTGAGCCTACCATAACACCATGGAGAGCACAAATTGTTGTTTCTAAAGATCCCTCAAACCGGCACAAGAAGAGGCTCTGTATTGATTACTCCCAAACCATTAATCAATACACAGAGCTTAATGCGTACCCTCTTCCTCGGATCGATGACATGATCAACAACCTAGCACAATACAAAGTTTTCTCAACGTTTGATTTAAAGAGTGCTTACCATCAAGTACCGATAAAGGAGTCCGATCGAAAGTTTACTGGGTTCGAAGCTAATGGAAAACTGTATCAATTTTGCCGTATACCGTTTGGCGTCACTAATGGAGTGGCTGCTTTCCAGAGAGCAATGGACAATTTTGTTGACGAGGAGAACCTCAATGACACATTTCCATATCTGGACAACATAACGGTATACGGCAAAATTGATACAGCCACTAACGTGGTGGTACTGACAGTTTGCTGCTATTTCCTTGCTTTCCATACTTCGGACAACTTTTTGACACAAAATTGTAGAAAAATCGACGAGACGCCATTTTGTTCGTTATAATGACTTAAATCTATTCGGTTATAGTAGCGTGGGTGACGTGTCAACGTGACGTGTCTTCCACCCCAAATGGCGTTAAACGAATGGATTTGTTGTAAGCATTTCCGCGCATTTAACCTATGCCCAGAATGGAGGACATGAAGCGATCAGGCGTGCGGACTCTCTTGATAATTCAGTGCACTATACAGATCAGTGGTATAGTTTGGCAAACACAAAATGGCTGTTCATCTTTACTAGCCGGCATAGTTCAGTGATTTTTACCAAGAACTAAATAATCTGAGCACGGCAGATTTTTATATTGAAAATAAGAAGAGATATGCTAATGAAGGCTTCCAACATTTAATTTCCATTACAAATCATATAAGTATGCATAGGGCACAACCCACCGGGCACACGACGTTGTTTCAACGTTGAAATTTGGTAGAAAAAAGGTTGCGACGTCGACAACCTAACAACGTTGCTCTAACGTTGTTTTACAAACATTGGTTCAACAGCAGCCAACAGACGTTGGATTAACGTACGCGTTCATTCATGGTTAAATGTACGACGTCGATTTGTGAACCAATCTCAACGTGGTTTTAACGTGGATTCAACGTTGAATTATGGTTGACGAGATTGGCAACCTAATGTCAACGTTGTTTCAACGTCCAAACAGTAACGTCGATCCAATTTGCATAGTCAACCCTTTTTCAACGTCTATCCAACGTCTGGAAGGTCATTTCCAACGTTGATTCAACGTTGGATAAACGTCATTTTGCCCGCTGGGAAAGGCGCAAATCCGACATTGCAAATACAACCATGCATATATATAGAAAAAAGGCAAAATTAACTGAAAAAATATAACAAACTTGACGCCAACCGAGTCTTGATCGATGCTCAAATTTCAAAAGTTTACCAATACTCAATAGGTATAAATGTTTTCAAGTTGGAAAATCAAATTTTCTACGAAATCCCGCGAATTTTAGGATGTTTACGAGACTACAGCATATAATAACAGCGGTTAAAACCATTGTAACGTAGCAACAGCTTCATGAAAGCAATGGCGGACAAGAAATATAACTTTTGGTGCGAAATTTGTGATTATTTTGTTCACAATATGGTGCATTTCTCATCACAATTGGACAAACGCCTCTCTACAAAATTAATACATGCAATTCATTGTTCTGGGGAACATACTAGTACTAGTACTAGTACTAGTACACTTCAGTACGAAGCAATTCAGACGTGCACATTTAACGATATCTGCAAAGAACGAGTTGAAATTGGACCTGCGAAATACAGTACCTAATATGTCGAAATCACATCTTTCCTTATACGGAGACTAGGCAAAGATATATCGATTGCTCGGGAACACACTTAGACAACTCGAGTTGTACTAATTTTTTACGGACAAACGTTTGACAGAATCGGTGAAGTTTTAGACGTGCACATTTTGGATTTCTTAACCGTAAGTTATCAAAAATACCAATTTTATATTATTCCCATTCAAATTATATTAGAGGACGCCATTTTGAATATCTATTTTGAGGCAAAATGCGCATGCTTGGCAGCCATGTTGGACTCCATTTCCGGGCATGCAAGTGTAATTTTCCCTTAAGCCTTTGGGTACGAGATTTGTACTATTCGCCTCAACTTCCGTGAATAATTGTTAAATATATCATGGGTACTCCGAATTCAATAAAAAACAAGCGACAGGAAAAGAAAACCCGATTTTAAAGAGAAAGTGCATGTAATAACATGAACGCCTCCTGATTTTTGACAATAATATGAACGGTTCCTGATTTTATTAAAGAAGCAAATCTACTACAAGTCATTTTATAAGCGGTCTTTTCATGAGTGCAGCGATTCACACATTTTCCTCCAGGCTTCTTTCTCCTGCTAGGAAAAGATACTGTATAAATTAATTATATGTGATTTAATAAAATTTAATCATATAATTAATTTATACAGTATCTTTTCCAAGCAGGAGAAAGAAGCCTGGAGGAAAATGTATGTGTGAATCGGTGCGCTTGAAAAGACCGCATATAAAATCAGGAGCCGTTCATATTATTGTCAAAAATCAGGAAGCGTTCATATTATTACAGTACCTGCACTTTCTCTTTAAAAACAGGGGTTTTTTCCAGCTGGCAGCCAGTCTTGTCCTTTCTGTCGCTTATTTTTTTAATTTGAATGTGTAATAAAGCAATTATTGAATTCGGCGTACGCATGATATATTTAACAATTTTTCACGAAGTTGAGGCCGATAGTGCAAATCTCGTACCCAGAAGCTTAAGGGAGAATTACGCTGGGCTAAACGCGCGGGAATGCTTACAACAAATCCTATATTTAACGCCATTCGAGGTGGAAGGCACGTCACGTTATACGTTGGCACGTCACCCACGCTACTATAACCGAATAAATACCAAGTCACCCACGCTATTATAACCGAATAAGTCATTGTAACGAACAAAATGGCGTCTCGTCAATTTTTCTACAATTGTGTGTCAAATAGCTGTCCGAAACACGTATATGGAAAACAAGGAAATAGCAGCAAACTGTCAATCCCATCAGGCTTTGCTAGTCTTCATTATATGACAAAAAATAATGCTTTGTTACAAATAATGTAATCATGCCATTATTTATTTAAATTAACAGCTTTATTTGGAACTGCTTACTTTACAATACACACATAATTAGTAACAAACGACAGTTCCCAAACGCGAAAGTCGCGTAAGAACCCATGCGAGCCTATCTGCCAATTAATTTAATTTAAATAATTAATTTCATAGACAATCTAAAAAAAATCCTAATATCTATATTCGTCATAACCACATATTTATGACTCCATTTGTATTTTTAGATCATTTAGATAAAGGTTTAAGAGACGTTAAAGAAAATAATCTAAACCTTGCCGAGCAATCACTCAGTCAAGCTTTAAAGATTTTATCCGCGTCGCCAATTTCCTCAAAATTCAATGGAGAGAAAGCGAGATGTTTTCATACCATGGCGGAGATATATTTAACCCGAGCCTCTCATCAGGTGAATGACGATGGTTTTTGTGAAATGATGGTTAAAGGCATCGCTCTATTCGAGGCTGAGCGAATATACAAGTACGGCAGTTACAAAGAAGACAAAGAAATCAACACGGCCATCTTAGAAGCAGAGGTAAAGTTTGTTGATAGAGTATTCGGGCCTAGAGGCGTTGAAAGCTTTAAGGAAATGAGCGATAAAAAAATACTGAATCGCAAAAAATTGGAAGAGGTTCGTTCAAAAGTCACTAACGAATATTTTCCAACGCTTGCCAAAATTCCAGACTGGAACACAGAAGACGAAGAAGAACGATCCCACGAAATAGAAAGTATGTATAATAAAATTTACGATGACATGAAGTGCTTCCTGGTTGACATTTTGATTCATTGTAGTCAAATTGCAGGTCCAGCACCCTGCAACTTCTCCATCATTGGTCTAGGATCTACATCTAGAAAAGAAGTCACTCCCTACTCTGATTTAGAGTTTTCAATTCTGGTTGATGACAACAGCAAAACCCCTTCACTGGAACAACGGCAGTATTTCCGATTCCTGACTTATTTTATTCAAATTCAAATTATCAAATTAGGAGAAACAATTTTACCAAGTGTTGGCATTTCTAGTTTAAATGATTTCTACAGCAAAAATAAAGAAGATGATTGGTTTTACGATGATGTTATTCCAAAGGGATTTTCGTTCGACGGTATGATGCCATGGGCGTGCAAGACACCTCTTGGAAGAAAAGAATGGCATGGACAACCTGCACAAGAGTACATCATGACAGTTGATGAAATGTTGAAGCTTCAAGACGTCATTCCTGGCTCTTCTATGGAGAGTCTGAAAACTGCAAATGTTTTCAGGAGCGTTTGTCACCTTTTTGGCAACGAAAAACTTACGATGATATACGAGCAGAAATTGTCAGCCCACCTCACTCATATTGACAGCATGAGAAGTTTCCGAGAACAAGTATTGCAGATCATGGAAAGTTTGATCGAGACCTATGGCGAGGAAGGAATGCCTATGCAACATTTTGGAACACAGCAAGACGTGAAAAAAGAGATCTATAGATTGACAAGTCTTCTTGTTGAACAATTATCAAAATTTTATTTAATTTTCGGTCATAGTTCGTGGCAATGTGTACATGAAATGAGAATGAAGAAGATACTAACTGAAGATGGAGCTAAAAATCTACTTGCAGCATTGAGTATCACAACTGAACTTCGTTTGAAGTGTTACCAGAGACAAGGTAGGCAAAAGGAGGCATTGCCTTCAGTTCCACAACTGTCAGTAACAGAAGACAAGGATATTTCATGCCCCCTCTCGACAGCTATCGTTCGTCTTTATCAAAGTCTTGTACCTTTGAAATCTGTCGTATTTCAAATCCTAGAAATTTACAGGAACCATGACCTGTATGAACCAGAAACGTCGGTTGCTGCATTGCTTCAGCAAGCAAATTTTATGGATGTTTCGCCATTGACAACAGCCGCAGCGTACGTACGTGTCTTGCAGCTTCCTAAAGCGTTCAATTGTTTACTTTCCGCCAAAGGTGGCATAATGGATAATACCAGTAGGGTGAGAATACTTCTCGTGCTCGCCAATTGTTACAAGATGGTTGGCAAGTTTCACGAAGCCATAGAGTGTTGCCGTGAGGTGGAAACCTTGTGCACAGGGGCACATGATGTTATTGAAACAAACAGTTTATTAGATGCGTTGAAGATGATCATGGATATCTATATGGATCAGGGACTCTTCCAAGAAGCTGTGCAAATGTACAAACAAATCGTGGATTTTCATGAGAGGCAGGATTTGAGTGAAAGTTTCGTTAAGGATGAGTTGGATTTTCTTAACAGCAGCGCTATTCTTTTTATGAATTTGAAGCAGTACAATAAAGCTGAAGGCATACTTAGAAGTATCACTGAGATGCTACGGAACCAACGGAAGCATTATTTCAGTTATTTTATGTGCTTAAACAACCTTGCCGTCATTTTGCTTAACGCGGACAAGCTTACTGGAGCGAAAACTATATTGAACGATGCTTTAGAGATTGCCAGTGAGCTTTATGGAGAAAACGCTGTTCATCCCTATTTTGCTCGCTGTTTGACCAACCTTAGTGAAGTTCATTACTATCTCCAGAATATTGAAGAAGCAGATCGTTTGCTGCAGTTGGCGCTGATAATTTATTCTCATGTCCACGAGCACGAGTTGATCGATCCGGGTATTATCGAGACACTGATTATCAAAGCTCAAATATGCCAGTTTTATGAGCTATGGGACGAAATGTTCAACTCCTTAAACAAAGCGAACGAAATTTCTAAGATTTTGTACAAAGGCAACCCACATACAACTGCCGCGTCTATACTTTTCTATCTTGGCATTTGTGAGCAAGAACGTGGAAAGTTCTTGGAAGCCTTAAGCCATTACCAAGAATATTTGAAAATTTATGAAAATGTAAGAATGGAATGTCAACAAAGTGGGCACAATTGCAACACTGCCAATGTTCTTATACACATTGCAAACGTAGGAGAACATTGTTCTTATGATGTTTCGTATCGTCTGTCATGCGTCGAAAAAGCGCTGGAGATAGAAAAAAAGCGCCACGGCAAGGAATCTAATCACCGCCATTTGGCCATATGTTTCGGAACTCTCGGTTATTTATTGATAAAGGATAACCGTGAATCAAAGGGGTTGGAATATCTCGGCAAAGCCATGGAAATGCTTGAAGAGATTAATTTCAGAGACGATAAAGTCTTTGGCCATGCACACCTAACAATTGGAGAACTTTTAGGAGAACAGTCTCCCAATAAAGCTGAAAAGCACTTGAGAACTGCAGAAGCTGTTTTAAAGAAGACCTTGAAAAATAGTAATGATTTCGCACTACTTCATATCAATTCTTCGCTGCTAAAGATTTTCCTACAGACAAGCAGGATCGAGGATGGCCTCAAACTTGCCAAACAACAGCGACGCCTGATTGATACAATGTTGTCTAAACCCAGTGTTCCTAACGCTGGACAGCTCTACCAAGTTGTGTATCTTGGCATGTTTTATGAAGCCACTGGACGACGAAACACTGCAAAGGACATGTATATCGACGTAATCGCCCGCCTCGAGGAACAGGTCGATCCGACCGATTCGGAGCAAGATTATTTAATGCCTTTACTTTGGAAGATCCAACAACGACTAGGAGAAATTTTCCGACTTGATGGAATGTTCTGTGATGCAGAAGCCATGGTCCAGCGCATTGCCTTGTCAGTTAAAAAGACAAGTTTACAGCGAGAATTAAAAGTAAAAGCAGTAAGAGCGCATCATGAAACTCTATTGCAGCTAGCAACAATTTTTATGGAAACTGGAAGACACGAACAAGCATATGAACTGCTTCGCGATCTCATCAACATGTACGAGGAAGACCCCAAATCCATTGATACCCATACAGCTTCGGGTGCTTTTCTCATGCGTGGTGAACTGAACCGTCAACGCTTTCGCTTCAACCCTGCATTGCATGATCTGCAAAAAGCTTTGAAAATAGCCGAAACGTTTCGAGGAACACAAGACAGTGAAATGTATGCCATAATCATGAACGCTATTGGATTAATTTATGAGCAAAGCAACAAGCCGGAACGTGCCCGCGAATACTATCTTTGCTGCATAAATACTGTCGCAGGAATACCACCGACCATGCATACAGGAATTTTTCATCAAAATCTGGCGGACACACTGAAAACGTTAGGGCGACTGGGTGACGCCTTAGTGCACTACAAAAAATCTTTGGAAATCAGGGAAATGCTGTTTTCAGAGGATCCGGTAAGAGAAGATATTGCCACCGTGCTTTACCATATTGCTCTCGTCCAGTATACTGATAAAAGACCCAAGGACGCTTCTAAAACTTTGGATATGCTTATACCCTTAAGAAGAGAACTTCTTAAAAAAGGCGGTTCTTTGCAGAATTATTGTGCCGTGTTTGTTCTAAAAGGTAATTGCCATATATTTGAACCAGGCGAAGCTCAAAAAGCAAAAGACGCCTACGAAGAAGCAGAGAAAGCATTGAAAATAATGACGGAAGGGCAGCCAAACCTGGATTATGCTGGCCTATTAAGCAATTTGGGTGAGTAGAATATGCAAGATTTTCATATATTTCTTAAACTCCTTTATATAGTAAATGTACCAATGTCAAAGTCAAGAATTTCAAGTAGTATCTGAATCATTTAAATAATTAAGTAATGTAATGTATCTTTTCAGGCAAAAACTTAACCAACAACGACAGGATTATTTTAAGGAAATTGATGATTGCACAAACAACAAAAAGGGGTGACATTTATGCGAGCATAATTATAAATAGGAATACAATACTGAATAGCATTGGGAGATTAATAAAATTAATCAGCAATACATCCCTTTTTACAAGACTTAGTTTGTCAACCTTTGGAAATTAAATGCTTTTCAAATTTTGGAATATATTTCCACGAGATGTTGGTTAACAAATTTAGGATATGTTAGGTATGGTGTGAGCTCAGTCAGCAAACTTCCAATAAGACTAGATGTCATAAAACGTTTTGAAAGGCATTAAATTCCTTTATTCGTTAATAATATGTGAGTTGAGTCATGTACCAAGACTTGAGAATTAACCTATATCTTTTTCATGTTCTTATAAACTTGAATCCTAAATGAGAATAATTTCGATAGATGGATGGATGGATGGATCGATATATATATATATATATATATATATATATATATATATATATATATATATATATATATATATATATATATATATATATATATATATATATATGAACTTGGCTTTGGGATTTCTTCAGACATAAAAATACACATAAATATAAAAATACAGTATTTTTATGTCTGAAGAAATCCCAAAGCCAAGTTCATACACTATCCAGACATGGTACCTCACACCCATTCATATATATATATATATATATATATATATATATATATATATATATATATATATATATATATATATATATATATATATATATATATATAATTAATATTTATTGTAATTAATAAATAAATAATTATATGCAGTAATAAATTTACGTGGTGTTTCCACAAACAAAACTATTATATGTTTCATCACCATGCAAACGTACAAAGCACTTATTAATTATCTACTATTTAAAACACGCGCAGAAGTGTTTTATCATATTTAAAATGCGACTGCGCAGCACAAGCATTTTAGATATGATAAAACACGACTATACAAGTGTTTTGAATAGCTTCAAACACGACTACAATAGATGCCGTCTCATTAGTATTCTTAAAATAAAGAATACTAATTAGGGTGGACTTTTATATAAAGAATACCAATGAAAATGAGTTTTATCAGGTATAAAGCGTCTTCATGTGACCATGGATTGTAAAATAACTGGATAGGAAACTTTCTGACGTCACAGTCTAAACCTAGTTGCAATCTCTGACGTCACGGGTATTGCAAATATATACCAAAGTTCTCGGCATTTTTGTTGTTTCGCTATATTTTCCGCTTTAAAAGAGTAATATTGAAGCATAAACTGGTCTAAAATTGTTTTAAAAACATGCCTAAGCCACGACAAAGTTTTTAAGGTAAATGCTTTTGTCTTTGTTTTGGATATTTTTATATTTGTAGCTACGAAATTGGCGTCGCCAATTTTAACGAAATTTGCGATGCATTTTTCACTGTTTAGTGCTTGAAATATTTGCTAAAATTGACTGGGAATACTTACAGATTTCATCGTAGAATGGCGTAGTTATATTTATTTGCTCGTTGACTGTATTATAATTGCTAAGCTATAGCTGTATTATAATTGCTAAACATGCCGTTTTTGAGAATTTGGTTTGCAACTAGGTTTCATCATCCAATCACACCATCAGCCCAATGAAAACATTAGGTCAACGTCAGCTAGTTTCCTATCCATTTATTTTAGTATCCATGATGTGACATAGTATTAGTTGACATGATTTGCCAATGACCTTAATAATATGACTTATTAATGAGTGTTTGAATATTATTTTATATTCAGCAAGGAAAGCGTGGTTGATGAATTGGACTGAATTAATGATCAAGGGTTGTATCTAAATATGTCCCTCCTAGCAAAGGATTACAGTATCTAGATGGAACCCTGCTAGTCAGGGGCGGATCCAGCTCCTGAGATGAGTGATGCATACATAAGACCTCGCATTTGTAGGGGGGTCCGGGGGTATCCTCCCCCGAGAAATTTTGAAATCTAGGACCTCGGAAATGCGATTGTTGCAATTCCTATATCAGAATCACAAAAATTTTGCTGCATTTTTGGAAAAACACGTAAAAAACTTGAACCTATATCGCAAAAAAACATAATTTCTCCACATAAGAAAAAAAATGTTGCTTGTACAAGTGTAATAGCAGGAGTGGCTGTCAGTACTGTGCTTCTTGTAGCCTTAACTTTTCTATTGAAAAACATTTCGGCAGAAAATCACGACAACGCAAATACACACATACTGTGTAACAAAGGTGTATACAGTGTGCTCCACTAGTTGCATTGCTGGACTCAGAAGACAGTGTTATTATGTTGTTTATGAACCACCTTCCCCTATTAATTTCCAATGTTCCATGAGTAAAATCTTCTACCATTAGAATTTAAAGTAAAATAACATATGGTGCATAAAGATTAAAGGTATTTTGTGCTTTACTGGGTAAATATTAGTCTCCTATGCAGACCTACTTTAGCGGGTTTGGGCCCGCCACGTACGGTCTGCTTACTTTCGCTAGCAATTCGCCTTCCCATTGTATTCCATTAGCCAATAGCATTCAAATGCACAAGACACGCCCACTTTGAATGTCAACTGTAAACTTGTAAAATGTAAATGTAAACAAGGAGCGTGCGATAATCGAATAATAATACGGTATATACGTATTTAGATGGCCATAAATGTGAACAGATCGAGTTTTCTGATCAATAGCAGTCGAAGTAGGAAATATTGAATATTTTTCCGACAAATGCACGCAATAGGTCGAAGGTTTAAATGTATATAAAACTATTCACTGGTAATATATATACTTGTTTTGAACTTGACGCGACGATGACGGCATGTATATTCAATATAATTATATACTATTAAAAGAAATCATGGGCGTGAGGGAGTCTGTATATGTGATAAAGATTCATGTTGATCTACGTAAACTTTAACTTTGATTTTCTCGGCTTAGACAACGTTTATTAGTTTTAAAATTACTTCGCCAATGAACTCATAAGATGAGTCGTTTTCGGCTCGAGTTTGTATATCCGATACAACACGTCCGCTCATGTTGTATTAAAATAGTACTAAGTTTCCGAACGTTCAATATCAGAGCGACTTTTGTAATTACGATTTTAATTTGTTAAACTTTATAAACTGGCTAGTCATATACAAACTTAGAAACCGAAATATGTAATGAATCAATTCAGTATTTTATATAGGCTGAATTCTGTCGAGAATTCTGTAGTCTTCAATTAGTACTTATAAATCTATTATCTACATCCGCAGTAATGTACACTGTAACTTTATAACTTTGTCTTGACGTCTTTGTCCAGTATATTACCCGTGTTAGAGTAGCACCTGCAAACGCATGTAAAGTAATCAAAACATCGCGAAATATTTTAGGTGATATTGTTCGATTTTAGTACACTATCTGTTCAAAACAATAGCTTGACAAATTCTAACAGATTTTACAATTGTTCCATATTGTAAATTTGTAGACTGGTTTATGTATAACAAATATGTCTCTCAGCTCTCGCATATAATCGGTTTAAGATATGAATATACGTACAAATGAAGATATGAAATGTTCAAGATTAAATGTTTTGAAACTTTTGACTTTTATTTGTGTCACGTGACGAGGAAAGGGGGTGCTTTGTGATGAGTGATTAGGAAAACATATGGGCGAGAACATAATATGCCAACAAAAGATCATATTTCAAAACGCTATAGGGCTTCTGAGATCAAGGTGGAAATTGAAACAGAAAGCGAACAAACATACGAACCTATTTTGAACGTTGGAGATGAAAATATCGAAGAAAGCGAGCGTCGCGAACAGTTTATGATCGAGGCATAAGAGGACGAAGACATTTATCGCAACTAGACGATGCAACCGCAGAGGATTTATACAACTTTGATGTGTCTGTTGCTCTAACGGAAATACAGTTAGACGAAACAGACGCTGAATTCACCGAAGCTATACAAGAAATTGATGGCGAGAGGGTTTTTTCTTTTAGTCAGTGAGAGATAGTGTGCAAGTCTATAAAGTAAAGGGAGAGACAAAACTCGTGCTGCGTTGACTATTAGGGGACGTGGTTTGATTATATTACACCTCTATTAACTATGATTACACCGATTCAGGTCAGTTTGGCTACTGTTTCCTCTACTGATGCTTTGTTCGATGCTTTGCATGGCCACTTTACACAACATTCTGTCCAAGGAACAATCAAGATAAACTTTTAGAATGTTTTTATATGGCTTGATTCCTCGTTTGTGTGAGCAGCTATAAAATTGTGAGAACTATAAAGCAGCAAATATATTCCTGAGCATATTTGATCGGATTTTTATAAAACACTACACCAGCAAAATGTCG